CTTTTGGCCGGCGGGGGCGCTGCGGGGTGCAGCGCGCGCGGTGGCGGTTGGGGGCGGTTTTTTTATTTATTCTGCCAAAAAAAATACACCACAGAAAAAAAAGCCCCCGAAGCTCGCCAAGTCATCCCTACCGCAAGCTTAAAGGCGGGCGTCTGCGAGGGGGGGCAGCGGGGGTACCGAGGCCGTCGCCGGGGCGGTGTGGCGACTGCCGCCCTGCGGCATTTGTTCGGAATAAATCTGCAGAATTAAAATACCCTGAGGAGGAGGAGGGGGAAGCCGCAAATGCCGGTGGGCGGATGCCTCCGCAGCGAAAGCGGGTGCGAGATTAGGCATTTAGAGGAGAGGGTGCGGACAGGGTGGCAGAGTAGCGTTGGTTCAGAGAACATTAATGAGATTCTTGGCTAAACTCGAAACAGTTTGAAGAATATACTTTATTATAAAAATGATAACTATCCATAAAACTCTACTAGGCATTATTTTATGTGACAGTCATTGGAGGGGTCAAAGTCAAGTCTTTGCTGTTCTTCTGTCCTTGTCTTGACAGAACTAGGTAATCACACTTTACAACTAAATTACGCTGCTGGAATAACAGCAACTTCCGTATGATACATTAGTAAATTTTTTTTTTTCATGCATGTAATATCAAAAGCAAGAGTAATTCTTGCACACCTAAGTAGTTTTGGTAACCAGAAATGAAAACCTGGAGGTTCTGTTCCATTGTGGAAATCCAAAGGCAATATGCTCAACGTGAGAATCTATTATTCATAATATTAAACATTAAAATGTATGGTTGGATAAACAAATTTTCCTGTGATTGTAAATGCACCACTGTGAATAAGGTTCATTGGCAAAATGCACTGTAGCAATAATTTATGGGTAAAATCACACTCGAAGAGGTTTGTGGAGAATGTACGGTCTGTGTGGCTAGTCTGGCGCTGATAAACAGCCCAGGCTGCTGCTTCTGAGACCTCACCCTCCGAAAGCTTCCCTTGCACTCGCTGCTGCCTGCCCTGAAGCTCCCTGAAGCCTTCTTTCAGAAGGGTAAATTATCAAATTTATGCATTTAATAGATCAAATATTTTGGTGTTCTGTAACAATGAAAGAAATTATGAGAGTCTTAATGGCTGCGTGAATCATGCTTATGAGAGAAGTATGCAGAACTCAGGAAATTTAGAGTAAGGGGGATTTCATGTAAAGCTTTTGAGAACATAAGAGAGTAGTGTGAGTCCATGAATGATGGTCAGCCTTTGAATCACCTGAATTGTATCCCTGATTTAAATTGGAAGGATGAATTCCCACAGGGTGAGTTTATGGATAAACGAAGGGACAAAATCTGGCTTTTGGTATAACGTTAAAGTAGTATGCAGACAATGTTTATGCCTGTTTTTTTCCATCTGATTTTGGCACCATTATTGCTTTGTTCTTTCATCCCACAAACGTCACTTCTACTGCTGGCAGAAGTATTCAGGACCTATGTGAAGGGGGCTGATGTTTTGTCACTGCAAACGTACTCAGGCTATAGGTGAACAGGACTGGACCTTTGTCACTGCAGCCATGTCCCAGGATGTGTTACAGGGATACTCTTGACTCTCTCCATAAATAACAACATTATGGGCTGAGAAAATCCCTGTTTTGAAGTTGGTAGTTAGACATGGTTCAAATCGACTCGGTGCAGACATTGCAGCTGTCTGTCTGTATGCAACCTTCAATTTTTGCTTTGTTGGATTTGGGAAGGACTCAGGCTGCTGTTGGCCAGGTTAACGCTGCCGGGAGCAGGCTCACAGG